GCATAACCTACAGTCTATCAGCTCGTGGGTGAATAAACCAATTTGGTATTATCTATCCAGTACCATGATCTATAGATTCACTCAACAACAAAATAGTCAGGCTAAGTGAAAGAAGCCAGACCTCCTTTCCCTACCAAAAGAGTGGTATGGCATGACTGATTCCATTTATATAAAATTTCTAGAAAATGAAAACTAATCTATAGTGACAGAGCAGATCAGCGGGTGCCTGGGGAAGAGGAGTAGAAAACTCAGAGGGTGATGGATATTTTCATTATCTTTACTGTGCTAGTTTCACGGAAGTACAAATATGTGAAAACCTACCAAAGGGATATTTAAAATGTGTAATTTAAGGCACGTAAATTCTCCCTCAGTAAAGCTGCAAAAAATGAAACACTTAACAGACACTGACTGGTGAGACCCTCCGTACCTCCCACCTCCCAACTCACCCACCCTCATCCACATTTATACTGGGTTAGGAGTTTCATTCCTGCTCATGTTTTTATACTACTAATATTTACCTCTGAATCCATAAAAAATGTACAGTTCTGTTTTACACATAACCAAGCTTTATACACATGGTATCATCTTGCACATATTTGAAAATGTTATTATTTTAAACTTTATTCTTGTTGGAAAATGTAGACCTAGCTCATTTTAATAGTTCTAGTGTTCATTGTGTGAATACAACACAGTGTATTTATTCTGGTGACGAACATTTTAGTGCAGTTTTCTAAATTGGCAATTTCAATTATATTAAGTGTAAAAACAAAGCATTTGAATCAGATATACTGTGACATGTACTATATGTGTATTAGGATATAAAAACAGTCTAGAAATGTAACCTATACAACTCAATCAACACTGGAGCTGCAATATTCAAATTAAAATAAAATACTTATGGGCCGGCCCAGTGGTGCACTGGAGAGTGCGCCGCTTGGGAGTGTGGCGGCACTCCCGCCGAGGGTTCGGATCCCATATGGAGACTGGTTCCCGCTCGCTGGCTGAGCGCGGTGCGGGCGCCACACCGAGGGTTGCGATCCCGTTGCTGGTCCCCGGTACGGGCGTGACACCGAGGGTTGCGATCACACCAAGGGTTGCGATCCCGTTACCGGTCAGTAAAAAAGACAAAAAAGGAAAAAATAAATAAATAAATAAAATACTTATCAAGTGTCTACTGTGCACCTGACTCTCTGCTAGGTATTTTGGGCATGGGGATAAGATTTAAACATAAGATGAGAACTTTGCTCACGGGGGCTTATTTATATTATTACCCTCTTCAGAAGTACAACTAATATGACAATATGCTAACTATGTAATGAGCACATAGGTTATTACAGATGCACATATATTTCTTTCTGTCCAAAAACTGAGTGCAAGAAAGACAATGAGACATTAAAGAGCTAAATATAAATGGATAAAAGGTAACATTGCAATTCAAGAGCCATCCAGAGGTACAGTCATGGAGAAGGATAGGTGGAGCTGGGGCAGGAATAGGTGCCACGCTGGCCATGGACAGGCAGCCTCCTCTAAGCAACCACACAGAGCAATTTAATGACCATGATAACATGGGCGAGTCTCCCACGAGACTTCCCACCCTGGCAGGCCCTGCTCTCACTGCCCCCAGCCCCGGTCTCCCCACAGCCCAGGTCTCCCCACGCCACGTGCCAAGAGTGTGCCCTGAGCAACACCCTGAGGAGAGCAGTGGCTGTGGGGCTCAGCCATTCCCAGACCTTTCTGTCTTCATCCTGTGACTGACCTCGGGGTTCCCAATGCCCTTTCTGATCTTCAGTGCTTTCCTGGTGTGTTTCTTCTCTCAAATGCAGTCTTTATTTCATTTCATCTCATACCAGCGGGAAGGCTTAGCGGACAACATGACCGGACACCCAAACCATCAGCCATCCCAGTCCGTCATGTCAAATTCATTCTCTGAAATACATCTTTGTTGGCTTGAGCCAAGCCAGCCCTTTCTTCTTTGTGACCTGACAAGACGGGATAGCAACTTCCCTCTACAGAATAACATCAGTAGTGCTTTAGAGAGGAGCGCGACTTCAACATCAGTCACGCATTCCAGTCACACAGGCCACAGCTGTAAACCAAGGACAAGCTAATACTTAACTATTTTGAGTAAGCAAGTGTCTTAATGTCCTTTTTTAAATGAACAAAAATGGAAAGCTAAATTTTTAATCTGTCTGACCCTGTAAAAATGAACGTCTTCATGGTATACATCTAGAAGTACTAAAACAGGAATCAGGAACATTGTTGAATAAATCAGAAACACCAGCAAAATCTATGATTGTACGAGAATTATACAGAATTTAAACAGAATTAAAAGATAATATGAATCTTTCCATGAACTTTTTTTTTTTCCCCCTTTTTATCTTTTTTCATGTCCGGCAACGGATCGCAACCCTCAGTGTCGCGCCCATACCGCACCAGGACCGGCAATGGGATCGCAACC